ACTCCTCGGAAGGAAGGTTGGGCAATCCTACTTCCGTAGTGATACTGCCTCGGAAACCCAAGGAGGGGGTCGCTATGAGTCGGGGCTGACTCGACAGCACATAACAACAACAACAACATATAGATCCCAGTGAAGGAACAGTCATGGAACCTAGTAGTCTTCAGTAAATATTTAACAAATAAATAAATGAATCAGTAGAAATAGATATGTTACAGATGACGGACCGAAGAGAATTTAACTTGACTGCTGACCAGAAGGCTGGCCATTCAAATCCACAAGCCACTCCTTGGAAGGAAGGTTGGGCAATCCTACTTCTGTAGTGACACTGCCTGGGAAACCCAAGGAGGGGTCGCTATGAGTCGGGGCCGACTCTACGGACTCTACGGCACATAACAACAACAACAACATGATTAATATGTTAAAGCTCTACTTGAAGAAGTGGCAACATGCAGGACCAGATCAGTAATTTCACAGAGAGATGGAAACTATAAAAAAGAATCAAATGGAAATACTAAAAACAAAAACCATGGTAAATGAAGATTTCCTTCAACAGGTCCAATACAATTGAGGAAAGAAGTGGTAAACTCAAATAGGTGAATAGAAATTACCCAAATTGAAACAAAAGAGTAAAATAACAACAAATAGAACATAAAAACCAACCAAGCAAAGAAAAAACAAAAACAGCATCCAATATCTGTAAGACATTAACAAGTGGAATAACATTATGCAATTAGAATCCAAAGAGAAGACAGAAAGAATAGGACAGAAAAATATTTAAAGTGATAATGGCTGGGAATTTATCAATATTAATGAATGACAAACATGAAATAAAGCAGGTTAAATACCAAAATTAAACAGACAGACAGAAGTTCACTTACAGAGATAGCATACTCAAATGGCTGAAAACCAAAGAGAAAATCATGAAGGCAGACAAATGAAAGAAATAAAGATTTCTTCAACAGACAAAAGCTGAAAATAATTGCCAGCACACCTGCATTTCAAGAAATGATAGAGGAAAGTCTTCAGGAGAAAGGAATTTGATAACAAAGATACTTAGATCTATACAAAGAAATGAAGAACTCTAGTAATGGCAAGCTCTGGTAGCATAGTGGCTAAGACACTTGCCTGCTAACCAGACGACTGGCGGTTCAAACCCACCAGCCACTCCTCGGAAGGAAGGTTGGGCAATCCTACTTCCGTAGTGATACTGCCTCGGAAACCCAAGGAGGGGTCGCTATGAGTCAGGTATGACTCGACGGCACATAACAACAACAACAACAAAGTAATGGCAAAGACAGGTAAACATGAAATTCATTTTATCATCTTACTTGCTTTAAGATCATCGAATACTTTACACAGAGCAAAAATAGCTGGAATATATAGTATAGAATATATAAACTGCATAATAGCCATAATACAAAGGATGAGAGGAAGAAACTGGGAATATACTGTTGTAAGATCCTTACAGAGCACGTGAAGTAGTACAAGATAATTTCAAATCATTCTCTGATTAATTAACAATATTTATTCGAGACCCTAGCAACCACTAAAAATTATAAAAACAATTTTGTGTCTTGTTTTCATCCTGATACATAACATCTAAGTTTGTTTAGAAGTTTTTGTTTTTGTTTGTTTGATTACAGTTTTCAAAAAAAAAAAAAGGTCTTTCACGTATATTACTTCATTTTGTCTTCACAGAAATCTGTAAGTACAGACATCATTATACAAAATTCACGGATTAAAATTCAGAGCAGAGTGCTTAAGGGGCTTGCCTGAGGACATAATCAGTTAGTAAGAATTGAGACAAGAATTAGGTGGGTCATCTTAACTACTGTTAACAATTAATGTCATCAGTAAAACACCCTGCAAATTAGACCAACTTTGTTTCATTGTGCACATCTAGATTTCAATTCTTAGAATGTGGTATTCAAAGTGCCACCAAATCATTCAGAGTTGATTATCTATGTCTAAACAGATACTACAACCTTTCTGAAATTAGTTGTTCAAAGGCTTAAACCCACTTAATACTATTCAGAAAGCTTCTCTGCTTGTATCATATTGCCAAGTGGTGTTCTCCATTAAATGGAAAGTTCTTGTCCATAAGAGACTCATGGGGAGAAAACTAATACTGAATGAACACTTAAATCTATAATGACAGCAAACCTATGGAGAGAAAAGCACGTTGTTTTGTCCACTGCATCTGAGTAGGACACAAGTCCTCTAATTGAGAACCTCTTGGGAAGTAAGTAGAGGGAGTGCCTGGAAATAAGGATGAATCAGGGTAGGTAAACACTCCAGGAAGCAGATGATGTAAACTGGGATATTTACAATATGGTGAGGAACAGAACCTTGGAAAATGCTTCTTGATTAGGTACTTATAAAATGTGTTTTTAAATGGAAAAACAAAACAGAAACAAAAAGGCGAGAAATATCTACAGTTAACCAGACTACTGGCAAGTATGAAGAACCACAAAATTCCAAAAATTCCTAACAATCCATATAACGCAGGGTGAAAAGATACAGTGCTGAGCCTCTTGTATATATATCCTCCACCTGTAGATGTTTTCCACAACTCCAATACCTCCTCTCTTTAGAATCTCCACAAGCACCTATCTCCTTCACTGGCAAATGACTTCTGCCAGTCTACTTCATAGAAACAGTAAAGGCTAATTTTAATTCCTTCTACCACAACAATTCATGCATCAGAACTCCTCATTGCCTCTTTCTTTCTCATGATCAGGGATAATCCCACTATCTATGCTTAGATCCCTGACCCTTTGCCTACTCAGGGACCTGTTTCATCAGTTATCATCACATGTTTAAGTCTCATTCACCTCTAAAAGCAAAACAAAACAAAAAATTCCCCGGAGGCTCTCCCTCCTCTTAGTTTCTGTCCTCTTTCTTTTTCCTTCATGATCAAACTTCTTTCATTTTCTTAACACACTGCAATTTGCTTCAGCTCCTCACTCCAATGAAACTGTTTTTGTCAAGTTTTCCAGTGACTTTCTAATTGCCAAATTTAACAATCTTTTCATCTCTTATCCTTCTTGACTTTTCCAAAGCGTGTGATATTGGAATTCTGTGGTATCTCTTCCCTTGACTTCTAGGATGGCATTTGCTCCTGGATTTTCATTCATTTCTCCTGCTGTTCCTTTTCAATCTCCTCCTCTACTGATTTCTTGAAAATGAGTATTTTCTCATGTTCTTTCTTTGAACTTCTTTCATTCTACACACTGTACTAGAGATTCTACTCATGGCCCTGGCTCCCACTCCCACCTATTCTTTCACACTCAGGTGTCCATATCTTCACCCCAGCCCTCTATACTCTAGTATCTATTATGACAGACATGTCAAATTCAACCTATTCTTTCTCCATCCTAACTGACTTTTCTCCCTGTGTTCCTGCCTTGGTGAATGAATAGTCATTCAGACTAGAAGCGTACATGCCTCTCTATAGCCTTTAATTAGTTGTGACTGATGCTGCCCAATTCTACTTTTGATGGTATTTCAGATTTGCACCTTCTGTCTGTTTCTACTAAAGGAACTCTGGTGGTGTAGTGGCTAAGGCATTTGGCTGTTAATCAAAAGGTCAGTGGTTCAAACCCACCAGATGCTCTGTGGCTCTACTTCCATAAAGACTGACAGCCTTGGAAATGCAATGGGGGTTGCTATGAGTTTGAATCGACTCAATGGCAGTTGAATTTGGTTTTGGTTCTCCATTTCCACTATTAACTGCCTTACTTTTTGGTCCACACCAAAATACAGGTTTTGCACCTGCATTACTGCAATTCCAACTTATTTTCTCTGCAATCCAGGTTTGTTAAACCTTGTTACAGTGGATCTCTTTCGCAGTTTGGTGAAGCCAAAGGTCTTGAATGCTAATTTTAGATATCTATAATTGTAATGTGGGATCTCTGGTAGCGTAGTGGCTAAGGCACTTGACTGCTAATCAGAAGGCTGGAGGTTCAAATCCGCCAGCCACTCCTCAGAAGGCAATCTACTTCCATAGTGATACTGCCTCAGAAACCCAAGGAGGGGTCGCTATGAGTCGGGTCTGACTTGACGGCACATAACAACAACAACATAATTGTAATGTAAAATGAAAATATTTGTGATTTCTGTTTGGTTTGTTACTTACATTTATAATCAAGAAATATGCTAAATTTTAGTTAAAAGTTAGTGAGCACAAAGATGTATAGTGTTCCTATCCCAGAGCAGATGCTTGAATTAACCTCAGGTTATCCTTTCAATTCTAATTGTTTTTAATCCGTTTTCTACCTTGAAGCCATAATAATCTTTTTAAAATGCAAATCTAAATCCTTTACATTCATGATGAAATCAGGACTAAAACTTCAATGCTTGTAGCACTGCCTTCTCCTTCATACCTGACAAAGTACAGCTCCTTAGTTGTGCCTTGCTTTCCCATGTTCCTTTCTGCCAGAAATGTCCCTCTCTCTCCTTCTCCATGCTAATCATCATCCATCAAGATTCATTAAGGACCTTCACAAACCACCTTCCCTATGACTTCACTGATGTGTAAGGCCTGCATGCCTCTGTGACATAGCACTTATCACCGTATTAAATATTGCCAGCAGTTGTCTATTCCCAACAGACTGAGAGGCCCTTCAAGGAATATCTTATTTGTTGCTGTGTTTTCAGCATTTAGAACAATGCCTGATTTAAGAACCAGTTGGAAGAATTATCTGGGAACTGACCCAAAATGGCTTCTGCTTCGAGAACATATTTAACATTTGGTAGAATTCAACTGTTTGCATTTAAGTTGAAGAGGCTAAGATGGGAATATTACAAATGGACCAGCATTGGGCACATTCCATTGTTTCCTGGGCTGCAAATGTTAAGAAACTTCTTAAACAATTCAGGCAGAAGATGAGTTCTATATCTGGTTCCTTGATCTGGTTTCTAGGTTTGAAGCACTAGCTTTATTTCTTGGTGTTTTACTTTCCCTAAGGGTTCATCTGTAGCAAACATGGTAGTTTAATACTGGTTCTCTAAAACAAAGATGAAATTATTTTGGAACTGGCTAGCACCAAAGTTATACCTCCCGTCTTTAGCTACATATAAGCCTTTCAAAATATTGAGGAGCTTTTTTCCTCCATAAGTATAATCTTAAACAGGTTTAAACATCAGAGCATGTCCTTACTCATTTCTACTACACCACTGACTCTTTAGCCTGTGCTCTAAGATAAACTGAGTGTCACGTAAGAGCCCACGCTGGGCAATGGGCAGGATTCATAGCTGGTCAGGTGCTCTGTCACTGATGAGCCTGGCCTGGTGCTTTGGTTTTGATACACATTGTTACTTCCTCTGCAAAGCAGGCTGTATTCCTGCTCGACTCAGTCCTGTGAACTTGACAACAGCAATCAAGTGGTCCAGATGCCAATACAAGTGAACTTGTGGACACTAGGAGAGCTGTTTTCTTTTGACATGACAGGCCACTTAATGTTTTATCAAGCCCATTTGAAAGAGGTCTCCTTTCGGTGCGGTATTTTTTTTCATGACTGAGCTAATTCATATAAAATTTTAAATACTCATGGTTTGCCTCAAGTTAGGGTCTAGAAAATAGATTTTTAATGATACACAGACTTTTCTTCCCACTCCGGATCAAAGGACTGAAAGAAATCTCAAATAATCTGAGCAAGCAATGTGTAGGTAAGTGGCATTAGTTTTAAGCATTTCTGCAAGGAGACACTGAGAAGAGAATGCTTCTTGTTACATCTAGTCTTAACTTCTATGACTATGGTGTAAAATATCAAAGGAGTCTTTACTCTGTTGTGTGGGGTGAAATCTGAGTTCTCTATTCTACAACCAAGTGGCTATGTGATCTTGGGCTGCCACTTTCCTTCTGGGCTTCAGTTTCCTTAGACGTAAATTAGGAGACCAAAACTTACTACACTCCTAGGTCTACAAGTATTTTCAATATTTTGAAAAATCTAAAGAAAAGCATGCATTTACCTTTTTCAGGTGATAACTAAATCACAATCTGCTTTTTCTTTGCTCCTGTCTAGAAATGTGTCGACTCAGTATGAAAACTTCATGATGGCTGTCCTTTAACGGGGCCAAATACAACTTTGTATAATGTGAATGGGAAAATTAATGAATGTTCCCTTAAACACGTGTTTAGTAGACATGGTATTCCACACTTGGCATAGGGAATATTAATTGGCAAGAACAGAGGCCTTGAAGAGATAGTGAGTGGAGGTTTCTCATTCTCTCATGGGACCTGTTCTTCCTCTTGGGTAAGGGCACTGGGCATCCGAACCGAAGCATGCATCCTCGCAACAGTGGGAGTGAGGGGAGAGTTGGCAGGGAGGTACCTGTTCCAAGCGACACCTGAGCATGGCCCATTCCACATCCCAGGCAGCCTTGTCATTGGCATACTCCTGCTGCAGTTGCAGCCGGGCCCGCTCATCCTCCCGCAACTCCACGCGAAAGTCCTCCAGCAAGGCCCGGAGGGCACCAAATAACTGCTGGTTCTCCATCACCTGTGGGAACATGAGATTAGACCTCTGAGTTTCACAGAAGTGTGCTCTTAAGTCAGAAGATGAGAGTATCCTATGGCCTGCAATAAGGTGGTACGGGTCTGCTTCCTAATAGGGCACAGAGTCACCCTACAGGTGTCAGTGGCAGTAGGTGCAACACAGGTGGAAATCTGCAGTAAACGGGAGAGTGAGGGATGCATTGCTGGCCTTGGGGCTCCTGGGGTTGGGATTACTAGGGCCTGTTTGATCAGAAGGAGGCTAAAGACAGCTGTAGCAGCTACCAGGCACTGTGTTTAAAAGTGGTAACTTTTTGGGAACCTGGACAGCAGAGGGCTCTGGACCCCAGGAGTGGAGGAGAGAAGTTGCAGGAGGCTGCAGGGTTCCCAGAGCCAGGGCTTCTAGAAAGCTTAGAGTAACTTTAGAGTCCAGGGGTTTGAGTTGGGCTAAGTAAACTGCCATGGGTTGCAGCTGTAACAAAATGTATGCACTCACATACAGGCTATCATTTCAGTGCCAGCTGCTGAACTAGAAGGGAATTAATTCACTTAAATTCTTAGAAACTTACAAATGTAGGGTGGTCATAACTCTGATTTGTATTTAGTGAAAATACCAAAGCAAACTAGTGGCCAATGAGTTGACCCCAACTTACAGTGACCTCACGTGTGATGGGGTGGAAATGTGCTCCACAGGGTTTTCAAAAGTTGATTTTTCAGAACTACATCACTGGGCCTTTCTTCCAAAGTACCTCTGGGTGGCCTTGAACCTCCAACCTTTTGGTTAGCAGCTGAGAGTATTAACTGTTTCATACAATAAATGTCTGATACATGGAAGAATGCATTCTTTATTACTATTCTCCATCTCCCTTAAAAAGATTTTATAGTTTTAAAAATCTGACCTTTGAAGGCAAATGTCACAATCATGATTTCTATCTTGGAACATTTCGGCATGGGTGTTGTATCAGAAAGGTTTGCCCAAATGAATTAAACACACTAACCCAATGATGGCACTGTGATGATAAAAGCCACAGAAGCCCATTTCTTCCTGTCCAGCAGAGAGCACAAAAAGCAGACTCCAAGCTCATCTGCAGATGGTTCAGGGCAATGCCTATTTGGTACCTTTATGAGGCAGGGGCGATTAAAGCTCTCCAAGTCCTGCTGGATGTAGATAATTTCTACAATGCGGACACCAGCACCACACTCCTAGACAGGACCCACACCACATACTCTGTCTGGGAACCTCTTCTGCCAGGCGTGGCGAGGGAAGCATACCAGGGTCCCTAGCTCAGGTTCTACACAGACAGCAAGTCATCATTCCTCAATCCTGTCAAGGGTTCAGTGCTTGCTTCAAGAAACATCTACCTAGTCCATTAAAAACATATCTATGTGTACACATAGAAACGGTGTAAAGCATACATGAGAAGAATTTAAGACACTTTGCATATATGTTTAGCTTTAAATAAAGTTGAATCAGGAAGAGAAATTCTTTAATATGAATAGATTACTGAAAATCCCATAGTTTTAACCATAATTTATCTAAGAAGTTATAATGCTAGGTACACTAGACCTTTGGTGGAGTAGGAAAGTCTTCTGGTTAGGCTTTAGCACTCTTTGAGATTTTCTACCGTGATACAAAATTTCACTTTAACTGGGACAAAAGGGAGTAAGAGTATAATTCAGTTAATATCTGAAACATTCAGCATTCATAGAGCTTTCCACAAATCCTACACACTGTTTGCAACCATATAAAGAAATAAATTAGCATGACATTCATAAAAATGCTCATGAAATGTGTGAAGCTGTAATAAATTCAGTAAAGTTTAAAATACTATTTAAACATCAAAAATATTTAAAAATTATGTAAGTGCAGTTGAATGAGAAGAGATCATAACAAACTTTTCAGCAACACCTATCTTCATAAATAAAGAATTTGTTCTCTGGAAAATTATGTATATTTTAGGGTTGATTTACTTAGTATTTTCATCTTTCCATTTTAAGGAAAAATCAGTAGTTTTTGAGACAGAGGATGTGAAACATAAAATCAGAGTAATAATTTTGATCCAGTCTTTGTAGTCATCTATTTTTCACTGAAAAGAAAGCAGAACACCATATAATAAATTCAAATATGTAAGCAATAGCTTTCTATGAATCCTAGGTTACATATATTATCAGCCTGTGGTGTTCTTAACTACACACCAAACTGCTGCTAATACCATTAGAATTAGAACTTTATGCTTCTAAAAGGTAGGTTTTCACATTACAGTCTTTCTGCAGATTGAAAATTTGGTTCCCCTGGAAGTACTTTTTGGCATTAGCAGCTATTGGATTAAATACAATTAAGCCCTAACATTTTTATGCACATTTGCGTCAAAGCAATCGACTCAAATGCAGTAAAGCATTAATCATTATAGAATGAGTTCCAAAATTGCTTTGGGGTGAAGGTAATCACAGGGAGCAAGAGAGCCCATATAACTGGTACTTACTATAATCACTGAAAGCAGTGACTGGGACAGTAGGAAGCCAGATTAGCTCTCTGGCATGTGTATACAATGACAAAAATGAGCTATAGATGGGCATGATGCAGCTAAATGACACATTAAAAAAAGGTAGCAATGATAATAATTAATGTTGTTTCCTATGGACCCTGGGGTGTGCTAAATGATGTCTCTACTTTATCTTATTTACATTTCACATTCACTGGGGTGTGTACTGTTCCTGTTTTCCAGAGGTGGGAACTAATGCTTGGAGTGGCTGAGTTCTTGCCTATTCTTCTGTGGTTAGCAACTGGCCAAGCCAAGACTGCAACTCAGCTCTGCCCCACCTCCAGACAGACATACTAAGTCAGGATATTTGAATTCTGACATTACATTTTGCCTGGGTGTTTTTGATTTTTGACTTTGCCTTAGAGAGGCCAACTAATTTCTTCTAATCTCACATAATTTTGTCCCCATATTGAGGGAAATAGCAATAGTGGGCCATCCTGACAAAGAACTGACAAGTTATTCCTCTCTCCTATTTGCTTAGTGGTGCCCCTTGTTGGGCTTTGTTCTTGATAAACAAATGGCTCAAATCAAGTCCAGGATAGAAGGAAAGCTCTGGTCTATTCAGAGGTCTTTAAAATTAGAAGTCACCTTGGATACAAAGCTCCCTGAAGATGCTGTGCCAAGGCCTAGCCATACATACAGATGTTAACTTATACATCTTTAAGTATAGGTCTATACTTAGACCTGTTATAGGTCAACTAAAAATCTACTTATTATAGGTCAACTAAAAATCTGTTTCAAGATCTTCAGCAATCGGTTGGTTTTCTAGCAAAGAAGCAGGATAAAATGGCTCCATTATTTCCTTGTCCTTAGTCTCTGGGCATTTCTGCCCTTCCAAGTGCATTTCTCTTGAACGAAGCAGAAAATTATCCCTGAATTGGTATCATGAGTCATTTTTTCATTAAGTTTTTGCAACTTGGGCAAAGCAGAAAAGTGTTGAACTTTCTAACAAATTCAAGGTTGGGCTTCTGCTAATCTGACTGCTATTCAAGTATACAATGAATTTTACTAATAGTCAGTGACAAGGAAGTTTATGGAAAAATTAAAATACCAAGATATCTGTGATACAATGGCAGCTACTTTTCAAAATCATTCTTGCCTAAGAAGATTTCCAAGACATGTGGGCATCAGGTGAAATCCTAACCCTCTGAAAGAGCTACCCCACCAAAGACTTTGCTTGCATGATAGCCGTGAACTTGGGAGATGGGGTTACCTGTAGTTGGAAGTGCCACATGGACCTGCTGCTATGGTTTGATCCACAAAAAGCCAATCTCAAAATGGAGGTAAAGACCTCCACCTCTTCCTTAGTCAGGCTCTTAGACATAAGACAGGGGAATTCCAGAACACTGTGGCAGCTGTCTCCACCCCCAACATAAATACACATTTCCTATTTGATGCATATATGAGGGGCCCCTCATGCAATGTCCAATAAGATAATCCCTCTGTCAGAAGGAGTCATGCGACATGTCCCTTTTGTGAGATTAGCCAGAAATGCTGAATATCCAGTAACATTTTTTATAGATAAGCCAGTTATTGTCATTCTTACCATCACTGTTAAATTCTAATTAATTTTAAGTTTTTTTCTTCTCAGGCCATTATCCTCCCACAGATAAAAGAGAATGAGCCATTGAAGACTAGCTATGAAAATATACACTAGGATGGAGGTGCACTGAAATAATAGAGCTAGACATTTACGCACATAAGTAATTTGTTCTCTCGCTTGCTATATGCACCTGAAAGCTTCCCAAACACTAATACAGGAGTGTGAAAGAACTAATGAGATGTACACTGGATAAATTATAAACACAGAGTTATCAGCCCAAAGGCTTCAAAGACACCAGGGCCAGTGTGATGAAAACCAGAGGTCAGATGAGAAAAAATTCCCTACTGGTGAGGTTTAGCACTTTCTTATGCACTTCTAGAAGGTATTTCACAAGCTGCTGACCAAGCTTAGCTCTGGGAAGCAAGACTGGGGCAAAGAGAGAGAGTCCTTCCATGATGTTCATGTTCACCACTTGCACGTGGAGCTCTGGTAGCATAGTGGCTAAGACACTTGCCTGCTAACCAGATGGCTGGCGGTTCAAACCCACCAGCCACTCCTCGGAAGGAAGGTTGGGCAATCCTACTTCCGTAGTGATACTGTCTCGGAAACCCAAGGAGGGGTCGCTATGAGTTGGGGCCGACTCGACGGCACATAACAACAAGAACAATAGAAACAAAAAGATAGGTGGAAAATAGTTCCATAATCATAAGCTCTAATCTGGTTCCTTTTATACAGAGTAGCATGTCTTACAGATAAGGTTGTAAAGTTGCAAAGATGCTGAAACAGGGTCTAAAGAGTAAATCTTGGTAACACATTTTGTGCAAAATTGAAATATACTATCCAGGTTCAAGAGGACAGCTTTCTTAGTAAAACGACAACAAAAACACCATGATTCACAATTCTGATGCACAGGCTTCATCTGGCAGAGCCATTCTTTTCCTTAATTTTTTGCAACACAGGCAAAGCAGAAAAATGGGCAGCCGGGGCACTGCTGGGTGAGTCTAGGTCCAGGAAGTCAAGGGTTCTTCTTTAGATCTTGCTCTGAATTCTATATTAGGTTACTGATACTGACAGTTGTTTTAACAGAGTATTATGTCATACCACTGAATGAAAAAGTAACTTCTCTTTTAACAAATTAATTCAGTGCTTGGAAGACTGGCTGTTGGAACCACTGGGCCATGATTACAGCACTATGTGCTAAAATAAAACTTAATTGAAAGAATTACTAATAAGTAAAATAAATAAGTAAAAGAAAAAAAAAAATGCAACAACAGCCTTATGAGTGCTGGCTTTAAAAGCTGTCAGGTAACGGCAAGTGTCTAGTGCTCAGAGACAAATACACATCAGGCTGGTACTTGTTTCCAGCCTCTGCTTGTTCAGACTGCCGGGAAACTGAAAGCACCTATTGTGCTGTAGAACAATTGGGTTGCTAAAGAGTGGTAAAACAGGGAATATGTGCAGAGCCAAATGTTTTGCTGTCTAATGATTTTTTATGAACTATTCCCAAGGTTGACTCAGTATATGTATATATTTTTTAAAAAATTCTTTGGACATGATAAATGTTGCCATCTCCTATGTTCAACTGTGAGATTATTCAATAAGATACAAAGCAAAGACCAAGGCCTGGTAAATTTTGTTACTTGTGAATTTATCCTTGGGAAAGAAGGCTTGCCACATTTCTCATTCTGCTTATCACCTTATGAGGTTTCAGAGTTTTGAAAAGGGCCCAGGAGTTCCTGAGTAGAGCAAACAATTCACGTGCTTGGCTGCTAACCAAAACGTTTGTGGTCTGGGTACACCCAGAAGTGTCTCAGAAGAAAGTCCTGGCAATCTAGTTTTACAAAATCATCGAAGAAAACCCCAAGGAGTACAGTTCTACTCTGACACACACGGAGTCATCAGGAGTCGGAGCTGACCCAACGGCAACTGATTGAGAAGGGCCTAACTCTGTACAGCAGCTCGATGAAACATGTACTCTTGTTCTTGTATCCAAGCTGCCCTAGCTCATAACCATGCCATTAAATGACAGGCAAGCCTCCTAACTGAGAATGTTCGCTCCCGGTAAAACAGCTGTCGCTTACAGTAGAGCTCATTAATCTTCTGTCCCGGCATGAAAGGCACAAAGGCTCCCAAGGCATGTTGTCATCCTCTTAACTGCTATAGACAGACAGCCACTTAAAGGAGACCTGATTCTGACTTCCTGGAGCCTACCCTGTTAGCCCACACATGTGCCCCTATCTACTTTCAAGGCCAATAGCTACAAATGAGTGTTGGGAGAAGGGGCAGGCAAAGGGGGATCATTAAAGTACACAAATGTGAAGCTCCAGCTGAGTGACTTTTTATTATTTTCCACTCCAAGGGTAAAATTTTCCATGCTTCTTATTTAGAAAACCAGATGTGTTACATTTTTCCCTTTTCCAAAGCATTTGGCTGCACCCCTGGGAAACACCCATCATGTGTCCGTCTATGCAGCGGGTTTATAGATAAGTGGCAATCAAGAAGCCTATGTGAATTAATCATAAATACTGTATTTGTGATCAACTGCAAAATCGCTTTTTAGAAATAGTAAAAGTAGTAGATTATTATTATTTATAAAGTAACATTTTTTTGTAACTATACCATTGCTGGAGCTCTGGTAGCATAGTGGATAAGACACTTGCCTGCTAACCAGAGGGCTGGCGGTTCAAACCCACCAGCCACTCCTCGGAAGGAAGGTTGGGCAATCCTACTTCTGTAGTAATACTGCCTCGGAAACCCAAGGAGGGGTCGCTATGAGTCAGGTTTGACTCGACGGCACATAACAACAACAACAACATACCATTGCTGGAAAACTCATTCCATGATCTAAAATCTCTCCAGTGACACTGACATAATGATATATTTCCTAATAACTGTTATTAAAAGTTCCTTTGAAAGTATACACTCCTTATCACCTTATATGTGATATGTTGTTGTTGTTATGTGCCGTCGAGTCGGACCTGACTCATAGCGACCCCTCCTTGGGTTTCCGAGGCAGTATCACTACGGAAGTAGATTGCCCAGTCTTCCTTCCGTATATGTGATAAAGTTATATGATTCATGGCAAGTGAAGAGTAGATGGGTGTACATAAAAAAATAGCTGTTTCGTTGTGAAATTCTCATTTATACATACAGAGAAAGCAGTTGAGAAAAAAATAAAACCTCCCCCTTAGTTGAACTCAGCACATCACCTCTTTCTCTTTTGTTTCTGAGCTAATGTTCCAGTAACACCACTGCTCACTCTCACTTGCCTGGGAGGCTCTGAGCCTCAGACGCCTGAGGAGGCAGAAGCAGCAGCTGGGTGTCAAGTGCAGAGGGAGTGGCCAACAGTGTTTGCCAGGAGCCTGGGCCTTTTCCCACAGCGACTGCTGCAACCACAAGTCCCCAGCCCTGCTCACACATGCCTCAACACAGGAATTTCTAGGGCTTGATGGCCTCAGCCAAGGTTTAGTGGATCCTCTGAGAAGCCAAGCAGGGTCAGAAGGGACTCAGACTACAAGGTCTGGAGCAAGAAAGCTTTAACACGGGGTCCCTCTCAGGAGTCATATTATTCCTAGCTGCCAGGACTGATGTTTTATGCGAAAAATTTAAAACTCAAGATGGTACCAATAGTAGTCTTTGGTTTATTAAATAAGGTCTATCTTTATGGTGTTTGGAAACACTAATAATTACTTAATATTATAACATTAAGGAGCTTTGGTAGCATAGTGCTTAAGGCATTTGCTGCTAACCAGAAGGCTGATGGTTCAAACCTACCAGCTGCTGTGTGGACGGAAGATGGGGTAATCTACTTCTGAAAGATTTACCACCTTGGAAACCCAATGGGGGTCACTATGAGTTGGAACAGACTTGATGGCAGTGAGTTTGAGTTATTATAACATTGGAATCTTTCCTTTCTTCACACATGATTTAATTGTTCTTTTAAAGGTCATCAGGTATTTTTATTTGGGGCACTTTGTTTCAAGTGGCCCAAAGAAAATCTGAAATTCTTTACATGTGTCTGGGGATTTTTTAATACATCTCTTTTTTACTTCTACGTATTAAGATGCCAAATTAATGATGCTGCTGATGTCCATTCTGCTGAATACAAAAAAAAAAAAAAAAAAGCCCTGAAGTTCTTTTTCTGGCAATGTGCTCAGAATACTCTTTTCCTCGGAAGAATGGCCACCATTTACAAGGGCATGCTGCAATACTGGCTCTGAGGAAGGTGTACTCAATTGATCTGATCTATGGCCCTTACTTAGAAATGTGCATGACAAACACACTTATTGTTGTTGTTATGTGCTGTCTAGTCGGACCCTACGAAGTAGATTGCCCAACTAGCCTTCTGCTTAGCAGTCAAGTGCCTTAGGCACTATGCTACCAGAGCTCCTTAACACACTCACTGGCTTATGTTAAGATACAAATCTGAATTATATGATTTCTAGCAAGAATATAGTCCTCACAAATAGCAATAAGCTGCCACAGTTAGACCAGGTAAGTTTCCTGTGACCTGGAGCACCAGCACTTGAAATAAGAGGACACAGAGTAGATTAGGAATTTTTTCGCTCAAGGTTGGGTTAAACCGACAGCTTTGGGTCGGGCACACACCTGCTTGTGGTGCTGTCCCCCGTCTGCACTCGGAAGCTGTGATCCATGGACGTTGAGCTCCACCGGGCAATGCTGGGGATACTCCCCCATCATAAAGCCAAGGCCCCGATCATCACCATCATCATCACCCTTCTGGTCCCCCTGGACTCCAAGCTCAGCAAGCACAGGGAGGCTCTCTGGATGCTCGCCCTGGAAACACAGGACACGATGCTCACAGCTCCACCCAAGGCCTTTGCTGTCCAGTCTGATTTTTATGATTTGAAGATAATTATCCACTTTATACAAGGAGCCATTTTATGAGTCAGCAAGTCCTCTACTTTTCAGTTCCTTTCCAAACACATTCATTTTTGCCATTTCATTCATTAGCATTTCTTCCATTTAAATATCATGGAGTGGGTGCTCAATGTAGCAGAAAAAAATTTTACCATTCACAAGTTGCTATTGCTTATAGTTATGGTTTTATAAATTAAAGAAGGAGAAAATCCAAAGTACAGATCAACAGGCAACTGTACAACTCTTTCTAGATTTTCTTAGTAATGGTTTTCTATGTCATGGGTGTGTGGAAGATGGTTGAATTAATCTTTAAAAACTTTCTTCACTATGAGGAAAAATAATCACTGTATCTTCCCATCTATATGACGACTTGAGGGGCTCTGATGGTACAGTGGTTAAGCATTTGATTACTAACCAAAAGGTTGGCAGTTAGAACCCACCAGCCACTTTGCAGCAGAAGGATGATGCAATCTATGTCCATGAAGCTTTATAGCCTTGGAAACCCTATGGGGCAGTTCTACCTCATCCTAGAAGGCTGCTGCACTATGAATTGGAATCAACTTAATGACAGTGGGTTTTCTAGTTGGATATGATGACTTAAACTTACATTTACTGTTCACTAGAGTGAAAAGCAGATGAAATATCTTTGGGTGATAAAAGAAGGCAAGTATTCACAATGCCTCAGAATGGCTGAAAAACAACACTGCAAGGAGTGCAGATGCATACTCACACACACATACACACAGAGCCATGTTTGGGGTCAATAACAAACAGTGCCAAGAGGGCAGAACTGATGGGTAGGAATGAAGAAGGGAAATGGTAACCACAGCAGGGAGCTGGGAGGAGTGCCGTTACATTGTGGGGATTACAATCAATGTCACAAACAAAATGTGTATGAATGGTTGAATGGAAAACGAACTTACTCTGTAAACTTTCACCTAAATCATAATAAAAAGTTAAAAAAAGAAAAAGAACAACACTGCCAGTGACTCCAACAATTCATTCACCAGAAAACAAAGCTAGGATCAGGATAGGGAGCCACAGGCCACACTGCTTCATAAATAAAAATCAGTGAACAGCAAATAACTCCATTCTGTTTATGTTACGAACCTGGGAACTGAGACAGAAAAAAGAGAACATGCATAAATTTAGAAGGTGGCAAAATGTGTTCCATCTGAAGCTTAAAAGAAACCCTTCCCAAACTCTACCAACAGAAGTGATTCTAGCACGGGAACAAAACTGAAATAGAAAGTAGAGAGAAAGTTTTAAAGTCAGGTTTTACAAACCAGCAAGGCGGACTGAAATGATAAAGGACCTTAGGATGGTAAATCAGTGAATAAATCAGCAACAAAGGAGACAACAGTGAAACGTTGATGCAGAACAGTTACAGACCAAAATACTCTTGAAACTAGGTCTAAGTACAGCATGGAATTCTTGGTTTAATATGTAACTGGAAAACCTACTGACTTCCATTGCTTGGACTGTTCTTGACAAAATAAAATAAAAGAACAAGACTTTGTGTGGGAAGGGGCAGCAGTGTCTAGGGGGTCAAGAACAATAAGAACTCTACAGGTGGAGTTACCTTGGTTGAATCCTCTCCTTCCTCTTCCATCCGTTTCCCTTGCCGCCAGTGTTTCAGCAGCCACCTGAGTTTGACGTAGAAGAGGAAAATGTTCTGCTTCAAGAACCGGAGCTCCTGCTGCATCAGATTTTTCTCGTCGCTCCAGGTCCGAGCATGTAGGGTATTTTGCAAAGCCAGGCTGTGTACTTCCAGCTCTTTCCACCTCAATGCATAGAGGTGTTCCTCCTCCATCTTGAACAACATAAAAGACAGAGCATGACAAGCTGCTACCCCACTGTGTCACCCAAACCAAACCAAAGTCTCTGCAAACTGTCATTCAACCTACACCATTTTACTTATCTGGTGGGGCTTGTAGGGATGTAAGACATAGATATTCCCAAAAATTTGATTTGAATAACTCCTTGAGATGTTTACACTTGTAAGTAAGATTTTGTGATTCAAAAGTAAGTGCTATTTCAAGGTAAGCAATTTTTATAAACATTCTTTACTGTCAAGACTTTCACAGTATCTTTAGATGTATCTGAACTCCTTCAGGAGGACTGTTTCTTGGATGGAGGGCTTGTAGCTGACTTAAAGGTGGATTCTATTTCCCCTCTGGATGTGGCCTTGGCACACAAAGGCACAAGGCAATGGTAGAGGGAAAAAGAAATGGAATTCTTCCCCCTTACTTCTTATGCCCCCTGGTTCCCACAGCTTGACTAGAAAAAACAAGAGAAAAACCAGGCTGATCTACAGACCCACAGAAAGCCAGCCTCGAAGCTAAGAGGGAATTCTTTCCCAGTGCACAGGACTCTATTGCATACAATGGTGAGCGAGAGGATAGTGAGTTTGAGAACATATTTCCAAGCTTATGAGATATGCATATCACTAAAAAGCATTGCTCCAAAGAAATGTTTTCCATCTCCATATTAAGTCTCTGTTTTTGAGACATAGGTACAGGCACTCTTCCAAGCAACAAGCAGTTATTATGTGTCAATATTGATGAAGCAAGAGAGTGGGAATAAAATCTTACTTTACAGATAAGGGCATAAGAATAAATAATTATAATAATAACCAAAGTAATATATAGATTCAAAACTTTCTGTTCCACAGACCAAAAAAAAAAAAAAAAAAGGGATTAGAATGTCAGCTTTACCAGCTGTCCTCTCCTAATTTTACACTACTTTTTGTGCCAATAACCTAGACAATGTTGTTGTTGTTGTTTGTGAAGTATTAATTAATTCTCAAAAACCACCGGAGCATTACTCTGGCAACCTGAGATCAACACCAATAGGCCTGGGTGTCACAGGCACTGGGCATGTGAGACACAGCTCTTGGAAAGGTTGAGGGTCTGCACAAGGGCTGCCTGGCTTCTCACCACATCTTTTCTGTACTTCAAGCTGACCTAACAAAATGCTGTTGTTAGTTGCTGTCAAGATTCTGAATCATGATGACCCCATGTGTGCAAAGTAGAATTGCTCCATAGGGTTTTCAAGGTTGCCACCTTTCAGAAACAGATCACCAGTCCCATCTTCCAAGCCACTTCTGAGTAAGTTTCAACCTCTAACTCTTGGTTAGTGGTCAAGCGCTTAACCATTTGCACCAGTCAGAAAGTAGTGACAATCTATTCCCCATCTCAGCAGCCAGAATCCCAGCAATGGCTCTTGTCCCTATGGACCCAGAATGGGATAGAGTGGGCAAAAGGGGCAGCTGAATACATTGGATTTTACTTGCAGTGCTATCTTAGGCTATTAACTCAACCTGGTAAAGCTTCAGTTTCCTCCACTGCAAAATGAAGATAATGTGAGCTTCATAGTGTGTGAGAAAGCATAAGCAAAGGATGTCGCACACACAGGTGCTACTGAGAAGCTACCAGTGTTAGCTGGCCCAGATATAACCCTGGGGGATGGGATATTTTTTAACTTATCTGCAACATCATTGTCTAGGTCCTTTGGAAACTTTTATTCTTGACTCCCATCCAACCATCCCTGATCCTCCTCTCTCTATCCACTCCTCCACTGCTCTTTCTGGCTCCTTCTGTTACCAAAGCCCAGAGCTGGTCTGCAGGTATGTTAAAGGACACCTTCCCTTCCCTTCTCTTCTGCATAAGCCTGAATGATACTCCAACACCACTGACCAAGGTCTGGAAGCCTCTCCAACATACACTTCTACCCAGAGCCCAAGTACTATCATACATTTTGCTACCAAAATCTCCAGTGACAAACTCTTCAAATGTGTTTGGGGCAGTGAAAAAAAAAAATTCTTAAAATTTTTTTTCTCTTTTTAGTAATATGAAATTATTTTCCTTTTGTAATATATGGGAAATTTGATCTATACAAGGAATATTTTAGAAGAAGTGTGCATCTAGTTAGGGCTGGTAGGGCATATTTAGACCTTGGCATTTAGCTTCGATTTCCCTAAACTGCCCTTATTTCAGTTTCTGACCTATTTTGAAAAACAACGCCAAGGACAATATGGGAACTTATGTGAGACACATATCCATGCCAAAATAAGTTCTTGGATATACCCAGCACCTTTATTCTCCACAGGTTATGCATTTTGAAATACACTGGTGTGCAATTCAAGAAGAACCATGTTTTAAAGATACAGCTATCTTTCAACAGCAGATATTAGGGGGGAAAGCAGCAACACAATTCTGAGCCTTGGTATCTGTTAGCAACATAATTAGATCCAGGGTGGTGGCAGAGATTGGCCAGTTCTCAGGGCAGGGAGTATTATCCCGTATCTGCAAGTATCTGCAAATCCCTTCTACTAGGTACCCTAGGAAAGGATTTAACGGATGAAGGATAATTAGCAAGTAATAGGTCATTCTAAAATAGCTGGAATTAATTAGGTCACAACTCAATTAATGTCAGGTTTTCTAAATACAACATTTTAGGGTGAGTTGTTGATGTTTCTACAAGAAAATTTACCTAACATTGACAAAAGTTCAAAATTTGCAGGACAAAAAATGCTATAAATGTAATTTTCATATCCATTTGTACTTATTTTATTTTACTTTGCTGGTGGGTACTCATGCAGGAGAAATTTAGACTAGATATTAGGAAGAATTTCTAGAGGTCATGGTGCAAATACTGAAAAGCATATCAGAGCAAAAGGGTAGACAGCACTTCCTATCAGCCTGTCTGAGAGGCAACTCGACCAGATGACTTTTCAATTTGCCTTCCAGTCTCATGAGTCTACAAGCCTGTACAAAATGGACCATGTTCTTTCAAGTACATTTTGCCATTTCTCTCGAGGGGCTCTGCAGCCAACTGAGCAGTGTGCTGGAGTCCATGTCCCATATTTACCTTACGGATCTTGTGTGCACATCTCTCGCTCTCCTCTTGATGCAGTCTGGTCACCTGTGCAAGCTGACCCTGGAGCTCCTCTACCGATACATTCTGTTCAGGTAAAACAGGGGGGCCCCTGAGCTGATCGGTGGATAAAGGAAGGGGTTTAGTGGAAGAGCACTCTGCCTGAGATGATGATGCAAGACAGACATCTGCACAAGCCAAGACACACACAGAGCGACATGGCCGTGCAGGCTCTGTAGCAGTGGAGTGAGTCTGTGGCTACTTCTATGACTTCCTGTGTGGAGATGGCCCACCACAGGAGCCCAGGTGCTCTGAGCTCCAGAGCACCTGTGTTACTGGGGGAGGAGCACATTTACCTGCCCTTCATCCCTTACATAAGAGACAAAGAGAGTCTTTGGCTGCCTATCACCTGAACTTCAACAACAAAAACACAAGCCAGGGCTAAAGAGGCCAAGGAAGCCAAGACTCAGCAGAGGGGTCCTCACTCCACAGTGGCTTCTAGACAGTTTAAAAATTTTTAGAAGTTTCTAGACTGAGTGCACTCAAAGCATGGTGAATATGGCTGAGTCAGTATGACCACTGGAACAAAATCAGCTTCTTGGATTCACCTCCCAAGTTCATATGGTGTCCTTCTAAACTGCATCATTAATTTGCTCATAGGCCTTTTTATAAGACTTTTTCTTGCCCAACTGGAAATGCCTTTCTTTTATCACATAATCTTATCCTGGATGCTCAGAAGAATTGGGGTGGAGGAGCTCTGGTAGCATAGTGCCTAAGGCACTTGACTACTAACCAGAAGGCCGGTGGTTCAAACCCACCAGCTACTCCTCAGAAGGAAGGTTGGGCAATCTACTTCTGTAGTGATACTGCCTCGGAAACCCAAGGAGGGGTCGCTATGAGTTGGAGCCGACTCGATGGCACATAACAACAACAACAACCTTCAATGAATGGTTTCAGGCCTCTGAATTGTACACATTTCCTAAAAGAACTACATGCAGACCTACTGATTACATTGTAGGTTAGAAACAGCTAAAGGAATCTTCATTCTTTTTATTGGTAAAGTCTATCTTGTATGTCCGGGAGCTCTGGTAGCATAGTGGCTAAGGCACTTGACTGCTAACCAGAAGGCTGGCGGTTCAAACCCACCAGCCACTCCTCGGAAGGAAGGTTGGGCAATCCTACTTCCGTAGTGATACTGCCTCGGAAACCCAAGGAGGGGTCGCTATGAGTTGGGGCCGACTCGACGGCACATAACAACAACAACAACAAATCTTGTATGTCCAAATGGTGATGACAGAAGAATCAGTTACCACTTTTGAAATAAAAATGTTTTTGCTTTTTTTCAGAGATGGAAAAACTGTAATACCAAAAATCTGAGGCATAATTGAAATTTAAGTATGATATTTTACCCATAGTTTATGTTATTTGAAGATAGAAGATTTATAAAACTGGAGACTTGAGGGGGTTGTAATGAAAATACATGTCATTTCACTGGCCTGGCATTCCAATCACCTTTAACTACTTTGTCATTTCTCTTTGGATGCTCTGGGCTCTTCCTAATCTGATGTCACCTGGGTTGTCATGAGGAAAAGTTATACTCCAGGAACCAAACTAAACCAAACTCACTGCCGTCGAGTTGGAGCCGACTCATAGCAACCCCTCCTTGAGTTTCTGAGGTGGTATCACTATGGAAGTAGATTGCCCAATCTTCCTTCTAAGGAGTGACTGGTGGGTTTGAACTGCCAGCCTCCTGGTTAGCAGTCAAATGCCTTAGGCACTACCCCACCAGACCTCCTACTCTGGGAACAGAAGATGCAAAAAGAGGGCAGAGTGCTTCCCTTCACACAGGGGAACACCAAGTTAGAGTTCACAAAAAGAAATATGGGAACAGAGGAGACTCACCAATTCTAGGGAGAAAAATAGTTGAAAGCTAGAGACTTATTCAGCCTGCCTTCCAAAAACTCAAAAATTACTGAGAATTTATAGGCTTCTTAGACATACTAATTTTTAAAGACTATTCATTAAGTCTTTTCTATCTAGCTATTTTTTCTTTTGAGTTTATCAAGATATTCAGCAGCAGTGCAGGTTCTCACTGAAGACGGCATTTCTCTACACATGAATTTAATGACCAATTTCTCCTTTCTAAAAATACTTTTATATCATTTTTTAATATGTGTGGTCTTTTAGAATAATAACTTACTCTTTTCTTATGTTTGCTGTGCCTTTAATAGTTTTGAACACATGTATCTAATTGTCTCTATCTGAGAATTCCTAAAGGTCTTAGAGTTTAATCCTGCTATTTGCTGTGTCCGTAGACTCCTACACCCCATGGATGGTGCCTGCTTGTTTGTTTGAAGGTTTGCATTGTGAGTTCATCTTCAATGGGGAGTTCTCTCTGAATCTCCTATGTGACTGGGGTTGAGAATGTGGCTGCAGATTGGTTTTGTGTTTGCAGAAGCCAGCAATTTAACATCAGTTTCTTTCCTTGGGGATTCTTGGACAAAATAGGTCATATAAACTCAAAGCCTAATCCTGTGTGCAGGCTGGCCTGTCCTTACACATCCCGGGGGTGGTGGTGGGGGGGAAGGGCTTTCTCCTTCTTCTGTCTCAGAGCCCCTGCTAAGGCAGACTGTTTCCTTGTTGGCTCTTCCAACATCAGGCCGATTAGTTTTCTTAATGAGCATGTAACCTTTTGAGGGTCCTGGGTTAATTTCTTTGCCTGTCATTGGGCCTGTGGCCCTGTCTCCAGTCCTCTTGGAGCTATTAAAACCTCAGGCTCCTGGTTACCAGTTCTGGTACCCACTCTTAACCCACCCCACCTAAAGACTGCAGATACTGCTCTGGTTTTCAATTTTGAAACCAATCACAACCCTTGAAGAGTTTATAGCTCTTTTTTTTGGCAGTCTAGCTATGTATTTAAAACAACAAACAACATAACGCACTGCCATCAAGTCGGATCTGACTCATAGCAACCCCTCCTTGGGTTTCCAAGGCGATATCACTACAGAAGTAGATTGCCCAATATTCCTTCCAAGGAGCGGCTGGTGGGTTTGAATCACCAGGCTTCTGGTTAGCCATCAAATGCATGAAGCATTTTATTCAACAAGTATCTACTGAACACCTTTGATGAAAGGCATTGTCCAAAGTACAAGGGATACGGCAGTAAATGAAATCACTAGAAATCCCTCCCTCACGGAGCTTCAGTTCTAGAGGTTGTAGGCTTTTGCATCAGGGGTGTTTTCAGAGTTCCTGGCCGCTTGATTGCTTATTTTATTTTCAATTACACATTACTGTGTACACTCACATTTTAAAGACCCTCCATATTTTAACACATTAAGTACTACCCAAAAGCTTTATATTATAGATGTTAAAATGGACATCACAATCAAGCTTACTGTTTAAGAAAAGCAAAGATCTATTAATTTAGTCTCTATGTATTACTAAGCTATTTAGTTTGGTTTTAATCTTAATAAATAATGTATATAAACTATTTATATAGTAAGGAAATACATGAGCTTCATACTTCGTCATCCTTTGATTGAAAATGTGTCTCTATGTTTGAACCACACCTTGGAAGTGTCACAGAAAAGGAAAATTATGAGGTTCTTTATCAGGGCATTTGATTTTCTACAGTGACTGCAGTGTCGGCTCTGGAGACTGTTACCTGGAAACCTTCAGATCCTAGGAGCTAAGAGAAGTTTTATTTTCCTTTATTGTATATATTTTTCACTAATGGAATATTGAAACTCCTACAAACAACTCTCCGAGCTGGGATGCCAATGTCACTCCAGTGTTACAAAAGATAAAAAGCTCATCAATACAAAATACAAACACACTACACGTTTCAGTTTAGAATTACTCTGTCACCACACAATTGCATACAATCACACACATTTGAAGAAAGTTTTCACATAACACAAAGATTTCCTTTAGAAAATAAATACTTCCCTTCATCACCAAAGGTTTGATTTTGAAAACCACCCCTTGCTCACTTACCTAAGATTTTCATTACATATCAAATTTATTTTGATCTCTCTATTCAAGCAGTTTATCTAAACAAACCCCATCCCCACTGCTTCAGTAGCTGGCCAGGGTTAGTCACCAGGACTTCCCAGCCATGCTTACTCCTTGTTAGTATCTGAACCCCATGAGTCATGCTTGAACCTACAGAGGATGTATTCAACACTGATTTATATTAATAATTTCCTATACATCTTCAGAGAAAATGGTTTGTACATTATTTGCCACACTTCAGATGATTATTACACCACTATCTCAGTAAATAAATTTTTTAAAAAAGGTTTACTTTATTGCCATTATTGATGCTCATCACTGCTGCTTATATATTAGGACTCTATTCTGCCTACACTGGCATGACTTCATTTTCTCACGAGTTCCATTTTGGCCAGTTCTGCTATCATTTCTTTCCAGAGCAGTTGATGAGGTCAGTGCATGTGTACAAATACTTGGCATAAAGCCTCATGTAGTTTTCTTGAGGTTGGTATTCAGCTGAGCCATAAGAATCGCAAATGCTTGGTGTGCTTCTTGGATTGAAGGATAAAAGAAGGATCCAGGGAGAAGAGCTCTGAGATTTCCGACCCAGAAACTCAATCCTCTGGGTGCAGGCTGTGTTTCATTTATAGTTGAAATCCAACCAGGGTACTGCCTGGCTACTTCTCATTTGGGACTATTTTTAAGGCACCCACACATTCCAAACCACATACTCTACACATTGCTCTCTCTTAACAGATGTGAATCTCTCAGCATTTGATGGGAACCATGGGAGCAAAGTCAGAGACAAATCCAGTCCAGGACATGAGGATCTTGCTTGTATCTCCTGAGATGAATGGGCAACAGGAATACTTGACTTTCTGAAGTCTGGTTTTATTTGGAATGCATGATTTTTGTGTAGCTGCATTAGTGGGTTAGTAGCTATTGGGTTCTTCTGCTTTCTCTAGCTGTGCATGCTTTTAAGAATACTGAGCTTGGCTGGACCAATCCCCTTCTGAGTATGGGGTACAAGTGAGCCACAGGCCTCCTACATGGCATGGCTTTGTGTCATTTACGATAGATGTCAAAATATGAGAATATAGTCTTTCTTTTTCCTTTTCTTCTTG